AAAAGAGTAAAAAATAGTTCTCAATCTTATTTATAATAAATGAATTTAAAATTCCAGTGAAAAATAAAATAAAATAAAAATAACTGATGTAAAAAAATTTTTAAGGTATGTCCAGTGTAGGGGAATGAGGAGGCCATATATATATAAAATTCATAATAACAGCATGCCTTTCTAAGATAATGAAGTTACATGAGAAAGGAGTGAAGATCTAAAGACTATATAAAAGAATATTGTAATATTTTAAGTAAGAATATTATAGACAACAATACCCACCATTTTACATAATGAGTAAAAACTAGTAAAGAGAATAATTTGAAATTTTTGAAGGAATAAAAGACATTGAGAAGGAAATTAATGTTCGAAATGTATACAGCATAAAAAAGAAACTTGTGTATTATACCTGCAATGAGTCGTGAATTTCGCCTGCGCCACAGGTTATCCATAGTTGTGCTATGCTTGGGAAAGTGGCTTTAACATCGTTCACCTTTGTAACTGACTGACCGTGGGGGGTGAAAGACCCCTACAACAAAAACTGTAGTTCTCAGAAAACAATGTGAGGACTGCAGTGGAAAATGAAATGCTACACCCTGTTCCTGGATGGAAGGAAACAGCATTACCAAAACAGCCCAACTTCCAAACTGGTGGCAGCTTTAATGCAATACTAATCAAAATATCAAAAGAGACCCTCACACAACTAGAGAAAATGTATGTAGAGCCAGAAGGGCTCAGAACAGCAAAAGCAATATTGGGAAACCGGAGCAAAGCAGGAGGCATCAACGGGCTGGGTTTAAAGTTATATTACAAAGCTACAGTAATAATAAAAAAAACCCAGCATGATCCTGACACCAAAGCAGACATGCAGATCAATGGAACACAATGCAATACAGAAACAAACTCAAGCACATTCAGCATCTGATCTTCGGCAAAGAAGCCGAAAACACACACATTCACACAGAGGAAAGGCAGCTTCCTCAACAAATGGTGCTGAGAAACTGGTATCCACGTGCAGAAAACTGAACCTAGTCTCATGCCACTCACCACATACAAAACGGAAGGAAACGTGGACCAAAGATCTACGTGCAGTATTAAAACAGCACCAACCTGCTTGAAGATCAAAAGGCAAAATGCATGATATCATAGGCCTAGGTAAGAACTTTCTGAACAGAGCCTCCATTTCAAAAGAAACATCAAAAATCAACAATTATATTACATTAAAAAAGCTTCTGAACAGCAAAAGAAGCAATCAACAAAGTAAACGACTTAACGAATAGGAAGAAGTTTCTGCCAGGTATTCCTCCAACACAGGACAATAGAACATACAAAGAAATAAAAAATCAAATCCCTACATAAAAGATCCAAACAAGAAATGAGCCACTGAACTGCAGACATGTCACAGAAGTACAAATGGCCAATAA